CTCCCTCCTCCTCCCCCCCAGGATGTTTGCGATCTTGTAACATTCTTCTCTATTCCCTGAGTTATTTCAGCTTCTTTTGACATCAGTTACTTTATTTCTATATCTTGACCTACCTTGTTTGTGCTACTGATTTTCTAAATGTATAGGATCTTTTGTTCACATAAAAATGGGAAATTCGGTTGATCTCCCCAGATAGTTGATGAGGTTTTCCTTTGCAATGGGTTTCCCAGGAGAAAAGCTGGACAGATATCTGGGAACTCTGTATGTGTGTGTGTGTGTGTGTGTGTGTGTGTGTGTGTGTGTGTGTGTGTGTGAGAGAGAGAGAGAGAGAGAGAGAGAGAGAGAGAGAGAGAGAGAGATACTTGTCAGCTTTGGGTTAGAATGTGGGGGGCTCAGGGACAGAGGACAATATGGGCTGGTTCTCCAAGAATAATTAGGAGTAATGAATAAACTCAGTGAGTCCAGGCTGTGGAAGCATCTATACAAGCCTGGATATTTGAAACATAAATGCTATTCACTACAGATTAACTATATGAGCAGGAAAGCAGCCTGGGGAGACACTCTAGAAGGGTTTAAGGAGAAACAGTCACATTAAATTTTAGAAGCTCGTCATGGCTGAGTTTGGGGCCTGTAAGGACAGGTTGGGTCATTATGTAGAGCTGGAGACTTTCAAACCAGGATCAATAAGGACTGCTCAAGAGCTTTGGTGGGCTTGGGGGCGGGTCGTGGACAAGCACAGGGGACCCAGGAATAGTAACAGCAGCCACAGTTCACCAGGATGTATTTCCTGCCAGGGCCTGTGCTAGGAGCTATTGCAATCTTATCTCATTCCTCTTCATGACAGCCTTCGAGGTGGATTGTATTATTAGCTCTGTTTTATAGGAGAAAATCTAAGACTTGATGGATTGGTTCCCATGCCCATCATGACCACTCCCTATATTCTCCTTTAAGGTGGTGAAAGTGATAATGAAATGCGCCCGATGCCAAATCTTAGCAAATTGCCAGCAAGGACCTGGTCGGGGTCCATCTCCTCATTCCTGACCCTCAGTTTTCCCATCAGTCCAGGGAGAATATTGACGTTGAAGCAGACTAAGAGGTCACATTGCAAGATGTTGAAGGCCTGAGGGATTAGTGCTCCTGCTCGGCTCCAATGTGATTCACATGGAACATTCCTAAGGGAATGGCAATGAGGGCTGTCACTAAGCTATTAAGGAGAATCAATGTCTAGGAGGTCAGAGAAACTCAGTCACTTTTATGGCATAGGGAAATCCCTATTGAGCCCCTTCCCAGAGGCTGTGGAATGCAGTCTGGCTGCTGGCAGGGCATCCCACACTGAGCTCCTGGTCCCCAAACCCCAGCAATTGGAGAAGTATAGCTCCCAGTTTCTTGCTGTGGCCTCTGCTTTCTTGGAGCTTAAGATGCCTGTGCTTTACTTGATGCAAGGCTCTGATGCCACCAGGGGGTGCTATTTCCTCCCCAGCAAAAGCAAAGGAGCTGAGAGGCAGCTCCTGATGCCTTGATTTAATTAAGATTGTCTGCCACCAGGAGCAACTGACCAATCTCAGGGGCACCGGAGTGTTGGAGAAGGAGCTCAGACGTTGGTTCAGAACCCAGTCTTGGTCTACAATTTGGGTGACTAAGTCGTTCCATTTGTTCAAGCCTCAGTTTTCTCACTTTAAATGTATACACACTTCACTAGGTGGGCACGTGGATGGAATTAGAGCAGGTGCTTCTGCCTGGCATGGGAGCCATTTACTATTTCCACTCACCTCTCAGTTTCCTGGCTGACCACGAGGCTAGGGCTTGGGACCATGAGCCCTGGGCAGTGGTTCTCAAATTTGTCCATGTGGTAACCTGTTCCAAAAGGCTCACCAGCAAGGCCTTAGTGGTGGCAGGCAGCACATGACCCACACAGCTGCCCCACAAGGACGAGGTGACAGCATTTGAGTTCTTGCCTGAACAAAGAAGAGGTATCTATAAGGCTCCATGCCAGATTTGAGGGGTTCCTGGACAGAAAATATTTTCCACTTAGAGTCAGAAAGCCTCCATTACAATTAGGTGCTGTTAATGCATTCCTTCCTTCATCAGACGCTGCCTGTGTGTGTGGACCCATGTTGAGGTCTGGGGACAGAGACAAGAATGGGACCCTAGAATTGGGGAGTGGGAGGACCAGGATGCTCGTGCAAACATGCAACCATGCTGCACTATGCACCTCTGCAGCAGAGCACGGAGACTTCAGGGATGGTTCCTGGCATAGGCGACATTGGAGCGAAGGAGGAGCAGAGTCTTCCAGGCAGTCAAGGGAGGAGGAGAGGGGTCCAGAAAGAAGAAACAGTGGGGGAAAGTTCAAGGGTCCTTTGAACAGAGGCTTGAGGAGTTGACTGGGTATGAGCATTTCAGGGGCATTGTTCAATCTTTGACTCTCACATGGCATCATCAGTATAACAGGAATAATAATATATCATAATATATTAATAATAATAATAATAATATATCATCATCATCAACAGGAATAAAAATGCCCACCTCAGAGCTGTTGTGATCATCAAATAATGTAATAACTACAGAGTTCACATATGCCATAAATGGCAACTGCCACTTTAGAAAGGGCCACTGCTCACAACTCAGGATCATTTCCACAGATGGCACCATGAATGTGTGTGTGGTGGCTGGGAGGTCTGGGCCATGGCCTGTGAGTTATAGGGAGCCACAGAAGTTCTTCCCCTGCTTTATTAAGATGTAACTGGCATAGGGCCTCCCCGGTGGCGCAGCGGTTGAGCGCTGGGTTGCGAAGCTGCCCGCGGCCTCTGCGACGCCGGTTCGATCCCCGGCTGCTCCCCGGCCACCCGAGGAGGGTCCCACATGGCGCGCAGACCTCTCCTGCCGCCCGCTGCTCCCCTCAGCAGTGTACTTCGGTCCTTCTGCCTGCTCTGCTCCCCGCTCTGGCTCTGGTGGGTTCTCTCACCCTCCCGCGCTTCTGACTGTACTCAGTGCATGTATAAACCAAAACAAACAAACAAACAAATAAATAAAAATAAGTAAAAAAAAAAAAAAAAAAAGATGTAACTGGCATAGAAGTTTAAGGTGTACAAAGAGTCAAGTTGATACATTTATATATTGTAAAGTAATGATAGCATTAGCTAACACCCCCATACCCACACATAATTGTCATTTCTTTTATGGGGTTAGGAAATTTAATATCTAATCTCTTAGCAATGTTCAAGCCTATAACATGGTATTATTAGTGATAATCACCATGCTGTAGTACACTAGGTCATTTTATCACTGGAAATTTGTACCCTTTGACCACCCCCCCCCCAGCCCCTGGGAACTGCTCCTCTCTTTCTCCCAGTTCAAGCCACAGAAGGTTTTATGCGAGGGCTGCTCGCATGTCCAATATTTCTGACATGCTCTGGAAGCAGATTCCTTACTCTCGACTCCTGAGCACATACTTGATCTTACCATGTGGCCTTCTTGGGGGAGGGAATGCAAGTTAGTGTATTCAAAATTGGACAACCTTGTAACAAATGCTGTTCCATTTCAGCCAAGTCCTTTGTCACCTGAGGGTCAACGCAGCAGTGCTTTCTCATTTCACTCTCATTGCAACCATCCAGGAGGCCCTTCTAGGATATAGGAGGCCCTCCCCAGGTGCCCCTCTGCACCTTTGGAAGCCCCCTGCTGACTTTCTCCAGCCACACTGCCTTCCCCTGGTGTCCAGTGGCTAAATGGCTCCAGCCTTGGGGTGTTTGCCTTGCTGTGCTCTAGGCCTGGACCACACATCTAAAGCCAACCTGTTTCCTTATACCCCATTCTCTGCAATAACTTATTTATTTCCTCGTTTACTCGTCCCTGTTTGATCTTGTCCCCCCAGAACTGGGAGCTCTGAATGACACAAGGCGGGGGAATTTGTCTTGCCCGGCCCTTTTGCCAACAGCGGAGCTCCGCAGAGATCAATAATTGTGAAGGAGTTTTTACAAGGCAGGTCTTGTGCCCATTTCACGGATGAGGAAGCGAGGTCAGAGAGAGTGAGTGGGAGACAGAGAGCGAGAGCGAGAGCGAGAGCGAGAGAGAGAGAGAGAGAGACAGACACACAGAGAGAGAGAGAGAGAGAGAGACAGACACACACAGAGAGAGAGAGAGAGAGAGACAGACACAGAGAGAGAGAGAGAGAGAGAGAGAGAGAGAGAGAGAGAGAGACAGACACAGAGAGAGAGAGCGCGAGCGAGCGAGCGAGAGAGAGAAGCGCGCGAGCGCGCAGGAGCGCAGTGGGTTCCCCGCCGCTGGCTTGCGGGGCTGGGTGGGCGTGGGGAGCCCGCGGGCAGCGCCGCAGGCGCGCGGGGCGCGGGGCGGGGAGGGCGCCCGGGTCGGGGTGGGCGGGCGCGGGCGCGGGCTGCAGACTGGGCGGGCGCGGCCGGCGGCGCAGGTCAGAGCCGACCCGCAAACGGCAAACAAACGGGTCGGGCGACGCCGCTCGCTCGCTCGCAGAGCAGGTGAGTCCGGGCTGCGGGCGCGGAGAGGGCCGGGTGCCCGGAGCCTCGGTAGACCGCGTGCCCAGCCCGCTGCGGGCGCCGCGCGGCCGGGGAGTGAACGCCCTGGGGGCTTCCGCGAGACCAGGCCGGCCGGGGGAGCGCCCTGCGCCTCCAGCCGCCGTGGCCTCGCCTGGAGCGGGTGGTGGTGTGGAGGGGCCCGGAGCCGCTCCCTGTGAGCGTGAGGGGAGGAGGGGAGGGAACCTAGAAAGTGTCCAGGTGTCAGGGACTGGAGGAGCTGGAAGCTGTTCTCTGAAACTGCAGGAAACAAAGCAGACTCCTCCATTCTTTCCTCGCTGGGAGATTGATTTTATTGTATCTTTGGTTAGTTTTCCTCTGAATGATGGGGAAGGCAGGCGGCAGTGGTGTGTGCGTGTGTGTGTGTGTGTGTGTGTGTGGGGGGGGGGGTTTCCCCTACCCCCCAGGCATTGTAGGTGTTTCTACTTTGTCTAGAGAGCCGCCGGGGAACTCAACCTGGAGACACCATTGTACTGACCTTACAATCTGCCTCTCCCCTCCTGACTCTGGCCCTCTGGGGTGAATCTGGCAGATCTAACAGATCCTGTCCTTGCTGGGCATCTCTGAGGAATGCAGTGAGAAGTGAGGGCCAGTTTAGTATGAGGTTCCTTGCTGGGGCAAACCTGCCAGAAGCTTCTGAAGCAGCCCCAGAGTGATGTGATGGCTCAGGTGATCAGGTGAGGACTGGAGTCTGTAAGGGATGGACGTTTGAAGGGACAGGCGCTTGCTCAATCATGGCCCACATTTCTCCCCTGGGGAGCTGTGCTTTTGTGCTCTGTCACAGTGAGGGCTGCTGCGAGGTTCCCAACCATGTGGGGAGGGAGGCAGCCTATCTGAAAGTGTCATTACAGTGGCCCAGCGACCCCAGGTCTGTTGGAAAGAATGAGGGGCTGGAGCAGCTGGGGAGCTGGGGCTTCTGAGCCAACATGTGGGGGCCATAGGTCAGAGGACCCAGGGCAGCTGCTGCTCTACCTGTGGTGTCTTCACACTTGGTGGAGTCAGATCCCATTGTGCCCAGGTGTTCCTGCATGGGGTCCTCTTAACTTTCCTCCTTTTCAAGACGTGTCTGGAAGCATCAGTGCTGGGTTTCAGAAATAGATTGACCAGGGTTTCAGTTCAGCTCTGCCACTTGCTCATCACCACATACTAGCCTCACCATGTCTCTCCATCCAAGGGGGCCTCAGCGAGCGACCTCCTCTTTATAAATTTTAAATGGGTTTGATATAGATCTGAACATAGGAATTCGCTGTTATTGCACGTTGAAAATGGTCAAATACTGCAATTTCATATGGTGTAGTCTAATAAGTCCTTCCTGGTGGGGCTATGGTATGAATTAATGTGTAGTGCCCAGAGCTCAGTGAAAACTGACCCTTCTGCCCTAAGAAAGTGGGTGCTTGCCAGGGTGAGGGGATCCCCTTCCTCGGGCTCTTGCATCCAAGATCAGGCTCCTGCATCCCCTCTCCTGCCTGCTCTTCCAAATTCCCCTTCCACTCCTCTGGTACAATAGGTGCAAACTCCTCCCTCACCCCCATCCCATCCCACCTCCCAGGTGCAACCTCTCAGGCTGCTTAGGCATCTCCAGTGGAACAAACAGGACAGAGTTACCTTTGCATGCTGCCGCCACTGCCCCCTGTCCTGGGGTTTCATCTTTGCATGGGATTCTGTGGCAAAGGCAGTGTGACGTGCATCATGAGTGTCCCCCAGGCACTGGCCTGTGGATGGGCTGGTCTCCAGCTCTGAAATGGGAGAGTGGGAGTGTGACCCTTTCTAGCCTGGGAGAGAGATGGGTGCTGGATCTGGGGCAGGGCTCAGAGCAGGACAGAAGGGGGCTGCTATAGCCAGACAGGTGCTCTGAGGCTGGGCATGGGTGAAGGATTGGAGGCGATGCATCCCAACCCTGTGCCCTCGTAGAGGGCTTTCTCAAGAGGCTTTGGTTCAGATGTAGAGCCAGATGTCCTCAGAGATCTGGGCATGGGTTTGTGTAGTCACTGTGACCTGTTTCTCATGGTGGAGGGGAGCAAGGTTCCCTCGGATGGGGCTGGTGGCATGAGTGGGAAGAGAAGGGAACTAGCATTTGCTGAGCACCCCTTAAGTACTAGGTAGGTCTTATTACCTACCTAGGCAACTAGGTAGGTAATAAGCTTTCCAGGAGGTGGCAAGAAAAGCTCCCGAGCAGGACCTGGTTCATCAAATTATATCACTTGCCCAAAGAACCAAGTTGGAGACTGAGTTGGAGGGAAATGCAAGGATCCTACCTTTCAGACTCCCCTCTTCCCTGTTTCACCCTGTGGGACTCCCCTAGGAGGGAAACAGACTATCCTGCAAGGTAAGTGTTACTCACGCTCCCCCACCCAAAAGTATAACTGAGGAAACTGAGGCTCAGAAAGGTCCGGTGACTTTCCCAAAGCCACTGTGCTTGTAGGTGGCAGAGCTAAGACTTGCACTCAGGACAAGCATGCTGCCCTGGGGTCCTGAAATGGTACTTTGCTGTTTTCCCAGATACCTCTGGTGGATTTAGTTGTGAGCCTATTCATGACCCAAAAAGCCCTCCGATGACTGAGAGCCATGTCCGCTCTTAGTGAAAAGCTCCCCTAGCTGCAAGATGACCTGCTTTCTGCCACTACCTGGGCTCTCTGACTGTCTCTAACCCTGAGCACATTAGCCTCAATCAGTGGGGTTATTGCTGGGTCATGTTGCTTTCACCAGGGCTGGCTACACTGCAGTCCTATCTCAAGACTTCCTTACCTGGCTTTATTCAGGAGCCTCCTATGTCCCAGGGGCCCACTTCTCAGCACAGTCTACAAAAGGAAACCATGGGCCTCCCCGGTGGCGCAGCGGTTGAGCGCTGGGTTGCGAAGCTGCCCGCAGCCTCTGCAGCACCAGTTCAATCCCCGGCTGCTCCCTGGCCACCAAAGGAGGGTCCCACATGGCGCGCAGACCTCTCCTGCCGCCCGCTGCTCCCCTCAGCGGTGTACTTCGGTCCTTCTGCCTGCTCTGCTCCCCGCTCTGGTGAATTCTCTCACCTTCCCGCACTTCTGACTGTACCCAGTGCTTGTATGTATAAACAAACAAATAAATAAATAATAAATCTTAAAAAAAAAAAAAAAAAAAAAGGAAACCAGCTTTCCCGCTGACCTGAGACTCAGGCATTTGGATCACTGCCACCTTGCCCCTGTAGTTTGCCTCTGGAAATCCTCAGTCTCTGCACAAGGGAATGGGGACATTTTGGAGGCCCTTCCCAGACCCTGCAGCTCGGGAGAAAGATGCATGGGTCAGCTGTCAGTTCCTGCTTCTTTCCTGATCCCCCAGTGATTTCCTGCCATGATACTGTCCCAGCCCCAGCACTTCCTTCCTCTGCCTTGGTCCCAGAAGCTGCTAGGAAGGGGTAGTTTGGGTTCAGGCATCCATGTAGTCTAGGCAGCAGGCACAGGTGACGGGTGGCCCTGTCCACTGTGACCATCCCTTGTGTTAGCTCTTCATGGGTTCTCTGAGAAGAAGAGCTGCAAGCCAGGCAGATTCCCAGTGCTGCCTTCAGCATGTCCTCTTCCCCTGTCTCGGCATCCTCCTCAATACTTTCTCTACATCCTAGTGATCTTTCTGGAATGGACTTGATCTTACTGTACCTTTGATTTCTTCCTCGGCCCTATCCATTTGGATGGTTGATTTCTCCTCAACCTTTGAGCCCTGGATCAATGTCACCTCTTTTATCATCTCTCTGCTCCTTCTCTAAACTCCCAGCAACCAGGACTTTCGTTTATAGTGGTTTTGGTGATGGCATGTGAGCTTGAAAGTTCATTTGCATTCCTGGTGATCAGTTCCTCTGGTCTGGGAGGGACTGGATATATCATTTTTGCAGACCTTATGGTTGCCATAGAGCTTGAGACATGCTTATTGAGCAATGAGCAGATGAAGTGGGATTTCCTAGAGCCCTCTCTAGTTAGGAATTCTGCTCTGACCATGCTGTACTTGGTCAGTTTGGAATCACTAGTGTTGCGTCCATTGCCCTAGGCGATGGGCAATCAGAGTCTTAAGTTTCTGTCCCATTTGCTGCTCCTGGGCACGGTGCATCTTATTACCACCATTTCATGCACTGGTGACTATTTCTGGACTCAAATACTGGACCCTACATTTGGCTCTGGTGTATTTCATTTTGTCATATTCAGTTCCACATGGCTCTTCTTGCCAGAAGACTATGGCGCCAGAAAAATCCTCCTGTTTCTGAGATCCAGTGGCCAAAATAACTAGACTAAGCTGTCAGTTGAATTCATGACTTGATCACATAAATGACTATGAGACTCATCTTTATAATTAGACCAATTACATGGTGAATGATATTTATAACAGCTAATAAATAGATTTTACTGATGGGGTAAAAACAGCCATGAACCTGGTCCCCAGTCCTCCCTGGACTCAACACAGGAGGCATGATCCCTGAGTAGCATTTGTCTCTTTGCTTTGCAGATGTCATCCCTGAGTCTTCTGGACTCTTCTTAGATCCACCATGAACATCTCTCACTTTCTGACCTTGCTCCCAGGATTCTGGCAGGCTCAAAACAGGAGCAAGTCAAAGGACATCCTGTACAACTTCTCTGACCACTGCCAGGATTCTGTAGACCCAATGGTCTTCATCGTCACCTCCTACAGCATTGAGACCATTGTGGGGGTCCTGGGCAACCTCTGCCTGATATGCGTGACCATTAGGCAGAAGGAGAAGGCCAATGTGACCAACCTGCTCATTGCCAACCTAGCCTTTTCTGACTTTCTCATGTGCCTCATCTGCCAGCCACTCACGGTCATTTATACCATCATGGACTACTGGGTCTTTGGTGAGGCCCTTTGCAAGATGTCAGCCTTCATCCAATGCATGTCAGTAACTGTATCCATCCTCTCTCTTGTCCTCGTCGCCCTGGAGAGACATCAGCTCATCATCAACCCAACAGGCTGGAAACCCAGTGTCTCCCAGGCCTACCTGGGGATTGTGATCATCTGGCTCATTTCATTTGTCCTCTCCCTGCCCCTCCTGGCCAACAATGTCCTGGAGAATGTCTTTCACAAGAACCATTCCAGGGCTTTGGAATTTCTGGCGGATAAGGTGGTCTGTACTGAGTCCTGGCCACTGGACCACCATCGCATCATCTACACCACTTTCCTGCTGCTCTTCCAGTACTGCATCCCCCTGACCTTCATCCTGGTCTGCTATGCACGCATCTACCGGCGCCTACGGAAGCAGAGGCGGGTGTTCTGCAAGGGCACCTACAGCTCACGGGCCTGGCAGATGAAGCGGATCAATGGGGTTCTCCTGGTAATGGTGGCCACCTTTGCCATGCTCTGGCTGCCTCTGCATGTGTTCAACAGCCTGGAGGACTGGCACCATGAGGCCATTCCCATCTGTCACGGCAACCTCATCTTCTTGGTGTGCCACCTGCTTGCCATGGCCTCCACTTGTGTCAATCCTTTCATCTATGGCTTTCTCAACACCAACTTCAAGAAGGAGGTTAAAGCCCTGGTGCTGACCTGCCAGCAGAGCGCCCCGGTGGAGGAGTCTGAACATCTTCCCCTGTCCACAGTGCACACGGAGGTCTCCAAAGGGTCTCTGAGGCTCAGTGGCAGGTTCAACCCCATTTAGCCAGGGCTAGGGCTTCTTCCCACCATGTTCATTGCCAGGCTCCTTCACTTAGCTACATGGGCACGCTGCAAGCTGGGGGAGGGGTGGCGCTTCATCTTTATTGACTTTCTGGGGTTCAGATAAAGCCCATGTTGGCATCCATTTGCATTGTGAAGCCTGACATTCAGATGGCCCAGCCGTTTATTCCTGGGAGGATTCTGAGTCTGGATTCTGCAGGTCGCAGTGCTCCTTGCCGTTTGAGCAGATGCCAGCGCTCAAAGCAGACAGGGCTCATTCTAGTAATTCAGCAGCAGATGCTCTATGTGGAGACTCAGGAGCTCACTCCCACTGGTGACATGGTGAGGTCACTGACGGTGGGGGAAGGAGCATGTGGAGTCAGAACTCTGGACCTTGGTCAACCCTTAACCTCTGTGAGAGGGCATGTTTGTGGATGGGCTTTGTGTGTGGAAAATAATTCTCTGGAGAAAAGACAATGAGATCTACTGTTAAATCATTAGCACATCCAACTGCAGACAACGGGTCCTGGTAGCTTTGGGTGTTCACGCTCTGAAAATCTGTCCTGAACTGCAGGAATTCAGGAGTCACACCCTGCTCCTTTTTGGCTTTTCTGCATCTGTAACCTTGAATGGAAATAAGGGTGCAAGTGCCTTTCCTTGATGAGATTGTGAACGCTTTGAGGGGGCCATCTGTATTTTCATAGAGCTGTGTCCTCCATGTCTTGGACAGACCCTGGCATGGGGGTGAGCTCCAGAGGTTTACTGTGGTAGACTGACCAGAGGTGTCCCTACTGAGCACTCGGCAGAGGACAGGTGCCCTGTGTGTCCCATGGTCCAGCATGGGAAGAACTCATGCCACTGCAGCTATATTCTCTTGCCTGCTAGGACCTCTCTTAACAAGGCAGCTGGCCAGGGACTTTGTGACACTCCCCAGTGTCGACCCTGCAGAGGCCTGCAGTACTCATGGCCTGCACCTGCCTTCCTTCCAGACTCTTCATTGAGCTGACTAGCCCTGGGTGATGTGCCACTGTTTTTCCAAACCTCCCCAGGAGTTTGGGCCTCTCAATGGCCTTCAGTAGTGGCAGGGGGAGGGAGTTCTTGGAGTGTGGCTTAATGGGACTGTAAGGAGCCAGAGAAAATGGAGCAAGTGCTATAAGTATAAATATCCCCCCCATGGGGGTTACGGTCCAGTCTTTTGGATGCTGAACCAGATCCAAGGCTTCATCTGTGTGTAGACCTGACAGCCTGTCCTTGCTGGGAAGGAAATGTCTAGATTATTCCTGGGCCATTTGTTGAGCCTGGCTCTGCCCGCTTAGACCCACCGGAGACAGTGACTGGACCCGTGGTAGCCTACCAAGGCAGGGTGCTCAGGAGCCCAGAGCCCTTGAGAAGCTTCACTGTGAGGCCCCAAGGACTGGCTGCACCAGGAGGTCTGGCAAAGAGATGACAGCAGGAGCCATCTCTGACCATCTCTCTGGTCTGGTCCCTGATCAATAACCTGTGCAACTAACCCCCAAGCAAAAGCTTTTTGAGCCATGAGTTCCTTTCCTGGAGTTGGGGGTGGGGTGCTTAAGCCCCTTTGGATCCCATGCAGTTGCCTGGAGCTTGTGGTTCATCAGTCATCTCTGTGCCTGAGCAAGAGTGCTGGCATGCTTGTGAACTGAGGGGCCAGGCTGGGTACCTGGTGAAGGTGCTTGGCATTAAGAATTGGGGTAATGGTTGGAAGTCACTCTGCATCTTCTGTGCTCCCTCACCTTGTTTAGATTGAAACAGCCTGCCTGCCTGTCTCCTGCTCATGGTTCCTAATGATCCTTGGGGTCACTTGGTTACCCAGCACCTACTCAAAATGTGCTCACACCAGCACCCTCAGCCTCATGTGGAGCTTATTAGACAAGCAGAATCTCTCCACTCCAGACCTATTGAATTGGAATCCATTTTACCTGCATCCAAATTAATGGTGCACACATTCAAGTTTGACAAGCCCTGCACTAGCTAACTGATCACCCCTTAGTCCAGAGCCCCCTGTGAGCACCCGTTGACACTTATGGTGGGATCCAGCACAGAGTCTGGAAACGTGAACTCTGGAGCTACAACTTCAAGTGGTGATGCCAAAAAGGTGGATTCCCTTTCAGCTGTTTGCCTCATCTCTACTCACATGTGGACATATTTCTTGTGAAATATCTATTCATTCATTCAGTATATATTTGACAAATAAACAGTTTGCATGGTTACATTCTCAGTGAACATGCCCTTCTTTATTCTCTTAATTTTCACTGGAAACTGCACCATCAACAGTTTTCTGTCTTGCAGGATGTTATTTTTGACAGCTGATTAAGAATTTAGAAATGTTCTTGTGAAAGCTGGTACCTGTGTACAGGATCTCTTTAGCATCTAGAGGAGGTTTTGTGGGAGGATCCATCTGAGATGGCTGGAATGGAGGTTAACCCACAAAGACTCCCTGGGAAATTTCAGTGGGTGTAAAGCCTCATCGAATCCTGGTGGTTTGAGCTTAATCCTGCCTGATTCTTGCCCTTGCTTTTTAAGAAATGACCTTGATTTGTTTTTTCCATAATAAAAGTAATCCTGTTCATTTTGAAAATATACAAAAACAAAACAAAAAAGAGCATTTCCACCACACAAAGATAATCTGTTTACATTTTGGAGGATCATTTCTTTAGTTTTTCTAGACATCGTGTCATTTATCTAAAACATGGTTGAGGTCATTCCTTAAGTGTGTACACATTTATACATTACGTTGGAGGATCACTTTATATCACTTTATATCTTGTCTTTTGCTTAAAATATATGTGAACTTTTATGTGTTCTTTCAACAAGTATGTCAAACCCGTGGTAGGAGCTGGGACTAGTAAAAATAAAATAGCTTACTGTCCCTGTTCTCATGGAGCTGACAATCCAGTGACTACATCTATCCTGTGTTTTAACCAACTATTGCAGCATATTTAGATGTTTCTAGAACTGTTACATATAGTTGTGATGAATGTCTATGTAGAGAGCTTTTTCTGTAATTGAAATTATTTCCTTAGGACAGAATACCAACAGGGGAATGAATGCTTCAAAAGACATGGGCACTTTTCAGGGCTCTTGATATGATTGTTAAATTGATTTACAGAGAGGCTAAAATGATTTGCACTTCCTTACCAGTGACTGTTTCCTTACCTGTGACCCCTGGCTGATGAAGAGGGATTGTCTTTCATGGACAGACCCTGTTGTTCATTACATTGCTTCCCCTCTCACCTGTTTGTGACTTCACTCCGGTATCATCAGTTTTCTTGGCTCCCAGTCCTGTCTAGTTTTAAAGTCTCTGCTTCTCTCCTCCCGGGCTCTTTTGCACTCACCTCTCCATCCAAAAAGCTCTTGCCAAGTGGTCTCCATGTTTCCAAACCCCATGACTGATTCTCAGTCTCCTCATAGGTAGTCAATCAGTGTCCTTCTGGCAGTTGATCAATCCCTTCTTCTTAAAACGCTTTTTGCATGTAGCTTTTTCAGGACTCCATACTGTTACTCTGCTGCCTCCCTGCTTGGGCTCTCCTCAGGCTCCTTCCCTGGACTCTCATCTCCCTGGCCTGGCATGTCCTCTGAGAGCCAGTGAGGTCCTCGCTCTCCTTCCCAGGTGGACTCTTCTAATCTTCTGGCTTTAAACACCACGGACTGTTTAAATGTCTCCTGTTCACAAATGGGACTCTCCAGTATGAATTTCTCCCTGCCCCTGGATTTGTGTATCCATGGATTGTGTTTACCAGACATCCAGTTGGCATCTCAAATTTGGAACTTAGAAAGCAGACTCTGATTTGCCTCAATCTCCGTCATTTCAGTAAATAGCAGCTCCCTCTTTTCATTGGTTCGGGTCATAGTCTTTGGGGTCAACTTTCTGTTCACACTCCACATCTAGTCCATCTGCAAGTCCTATCAGTTCTGCCTTTAAAATGTATTCGGAGTGACCCCTTCTCTCCTGAGACGTCACTCACTCTGCCATCAGGTCTGAGCGCTGTCATCTCCAATAAGATCACTGCAGCAACCTCTCTGGTCTCAGTGACGCTTGGCAGGCTAAGTTAGATCTCTCCACACCTCTGTCCAAACCCCTTCATTGACTTTCTGTCCCTCTCAGAGTAAAATTCACAATCTGTGGCTTGCCTGAGCTGACCACCTGTCCTCTGGCCTCACTTCCCACCCACCCCTCTTGCCCGCGGTCTGCAGCAGTGCTGGCATGTGTGCTGGATCCTAAACACTTGACATGCTCCCTGTTCCTCCCTCAGCCCTTTGTACTTTCTACTCTTGCTGTTTGGAAGGCTACCCCAATATCAATATTTTCACTCCCTTTCTCCCTTACCTTAAGTGAGCCTTATCAGATGATTACTTCCTTAACCACACTATAAAAACACAACCCTTCTCACTGGGCATTCCTACCTCATGCCACTGGACTCAGTGCTTGCTTTGTACATTTACGTGATTCACTGCTGAGTCTCATTCCCTCATTAGAACTAAACTCCACGAAGCAGAGACCTGGTATGTTTTAGTCACTGTCCAGTGCTCAGAAGTGTTAGTTGATCAGTGGGGCATGGTACTTCAACCTCTTATTTGTGGAGTGCAGGCATTTCGTTTTGTGGATTTGGGTTCTGGGTTTAACAGCTGTTGTTAGCTGATGGTGGGACCTTGAGGAGCAGCTCTTGCATCTTGGGTTCTGACCCTGTAATAATGCTGGCTGCTGTGCTGGACACTTTCCATATGTTGTCTCCCCTCAACCCTGAGGTTGGCTAGATGAAGATATTGAGCCTAAGGTGTTAAAAAAAAAAAAAGCTTTAAGCTTTCAAAAAGAGCCAGAATTGAAATCCAATATGATGGCTCCTAAAGTCTATGATTTGGACTGTTGTGGCATGAAAGGTTGACCAGATGATCTCTAAGTTGCCTCCCAGCTTTCATCTAGAGAGTTTGAACTTTATAGGCAATGGAGAGGCACTGAAGGGTTTTAAACAGAGAAGTGGGCACATCTGGATCGGGTTGGTGGGGTCAGCTCCACTTGAATTGCATGGAGATGACAGCATTTTCATAGCAGAGGACTGCAACAGTCCCCCAAGGAAAGTGATATCAAGCAGGCAAAAATATGAAAGCAGAAATGGTCACAGAGAGAAGAGAGTGGATTGGAAAGATATTTAGATGTTGAATGGGCAGCGTGTCTTGGGCATGGGATAGAGAACAATAATTCCCAAGTTTCAGACTTGGGATAGTGGGTTGGTGTCTGGTCCACTTCATGAGATGGAACAAGTGTTTTTATTAAGGGGAGGGGGAGTTCATCTTTGGATGAGGCACTCTTAGGCATGCAGATGCATGGGCAGATAATTCAATCTGGAGCTCTAGAATGAAATTTGGTCAGGGCCTGACCAAAACGACGCTGAAAGGCAGGCCTGGGATGTGGCTAAACTAGGGTATGGCCTGATTTGGAGCTGGGCAATGTGCCAAAGGCACTCCAGTTTCCCAGAGTGGAATCTGGGGATAGGACATCAAGGTCAGCCAACAAGTTGGGGTCCTGGGACATAGGGTGGGGCAGTTCCAGTAGGAGGCCCTGGTGGATAGGCTGAAGTAAGGCAGGAAAAGGAGCTATATTTCCAGAGGTGACACAAGGTAAGTTGTCGTTCACCCATGTTCTGTGGTTTAACTTCTTTAGAGACAATGGCAATTTCAAGGTCAAGCTTCTTGGCTCAAAGTTGAGAGTTGCTGATGGGACTTAGGCTGGAAAGATCTGGAAGTTTCTCAAGGAAGAAATTTTTATTCTTCCACCCTGCTGAGGGTTGGTCTGAGGTAGAGGAATGACCACAGCTGTTGTCTCTCTCTTGAAGTGGGTTATGCAGACTTGACAAGGATCCTTTAGAGACAAAGCCCTTGGCCTGGCCTGGTCTGGTGGTAGGGCTTCTTCCCAGACTGACTCTTCAAGATTCTGATTCATCTTACAACTGCTTGCAAAAACACAGATGTAGACCTGGTTTGGGCTCCTGGGGCCTGAAAAGACCTGGAAAAGGGTTTGCAGGGCTTATTAACATGTCTTCTTAGCCAAGAGCACCAGGCGCTTCCTTCACTGGGAAGTGGCAAGGGCATCTGCTGGGTGAACTTGCCAATGAACCTTAGAGCAGGGGGTAGCTGAGAGTGTGGCTATATAATCATGACCCCTTGAGTTGTTTTAAGGTCACCATTTACTTGAAACTGATTCCTGAAAACTCTGAAAACAGTTTATCAGTGCAATTGGGTACCAGCACAAAGCTCTCTTAAAATACATTTCCTTTCATTCATAAGCCATCAGTGGGGCATAGGATTAGTCATCATTTTGACTGCCGAGGAAACCATACTGAAAACAGGGCATGTATTCGGAATAAAGAGCCTTAAATCACTGGTGAAAACTCTGTGATACTCATGTCTCCCTCCTCAGGTAGTTCTCTCTGTGGCAGCTGGCATCCTGGTGTCCCCTTGGAGATGTCATTTTTAGCCTCTTTGGGGTTTTATGACTTGAAGGTGTGGGGTGGATCTACCTGAGATTCCCCAAATTGAGACCTTCTTTTCCTATCCTTTCTTTTAAATACCTACCTCTTCAACTCAGTTACCTGGAGCAAGTTTAGCTGGGCAGGTGTGAGCACTAGTCTTTCCCCAGGCTCCTGTCAGATTGTGCTGCCAATGACCACATCCTGGTGAGGTGATGGGATAGACTTTAGAATCCATCATATGGGGTTTCAAATATGACTCTTTTTTTTTTTTTTTGTTAAGATTTCTTTATTTATTTATACAAGCACTGGGTACAGTCAGAAGCGCGGGAGGGTGAGAGAATTCACCACAGCCAGAGCGGGGAACACAACAGGCAGACTGATGAAATACACTGCTGAGGGGAGCAGTGGGCGCGACAGGAGATGTCTGTTGCGCCATGTGGGACCCTCTCCAGGGGCTGGGGATTGAACCGGTGCTGCAGAGGCTGTGGGCAGCTTTGCAGCCCAGCGCTCAACCTCTGCACCACCAGGGGAGGCCCCTCTCTTTTTTTTTTTAAAGACTTACTTATTTATGCAAACAAGAAGGGGGTTGTAAAAGATTTTTTTAACGCTCTTAGGGTCACCTCCTAGTGAAGGCAATACTGAATGTTCTCATCAGTGTATCTAACTATTGGCCTGCACTACTTTTGTGTAGTACACAGATTTAACATGGTTAAATATAATAGGGCCTATAGAATATGGGGCTATTA